AGATCATGTGTGCTGGGCGTACGAGCCTCGTTCAAAGAAAGGGATGCTGCCGTACGATTCTGCTCACTCCAAGCTTGTGAAGAGAGGGATAGCTTCCACCCGCTTGGCGGCCTCGCTGAAAAAATCGCGCAAGCATAGAATGAGCGCCAGCTTTCACGCGCACCTCAGCAGAGCGGAGGCGGCGGGTTTCCGTCCCAATGTGCTTCGCGATGTGTCGGAGACCTTGTTAAAAAAGATAAAAAAGCACAGCAGGGAGGATTGTGAGGGTAACATAAGGAGGGCGGCTAAACCTGCGGTCTTACCCTACATACACAGACTATCCCACAACCTGAGGAAGGCAGCCGATAGGTTTGGCATTCCAGTTGCCTTTTCTGCGCCAAATAAACTTTCTGCATTGTGCAATACGATCAATAGGAGCTCAGGTGACGCCACTGCGACGGAAAGGGATTGCAAAGAGAGACACGTGACGCAGTACCGCGATTGCGTCACTGAAGTCGTCTATGAGATACCCCTATCATGCGGGAGAGAGAATGTTGGCCAGACGGGGAGGTGCATTAATGATAGAATCAGGGAGCACTCTGCGTCAACTAGGCAATCCCCGTCTGGCCACTTGGCAGTACACTGTGATCGATGCGAGTGTGACCCAAAGTTTGACGAAACAAGAATTGTTGGAAGCGGCGCAACAAAAATCGCTCGCGAAATCTTGGAGGCCTTCACCATAGGATCTCGTGGCACCGATGTCTGTGTCAGCGCCCCATCTTTATCTCTATCTGATAGGGAGTATACGTTCCTTCAAAGTGAACGTGTCACGTAGGAAAACGCGCTAGGCTTCGTTCTATCTTTTTTTTTCTTACCCATGCGCACGTGTACATTGGGTATAGCTTGCGTTTCTGTGTTTTTCTAAAATAAAGTTCAGTTGTAAGAGCGCCTCGTCCAGTCTGCTTCTCTCCTTGTGTCCTCGTTGTTTTGGCGCCTCACTTCAATCACTCCTGTTGGAAGTTCGTTACGAGTGCAACGATGTGTCCGCATTGGAGCTCCGCGATGCCTTTTGCGAGGCCGATCCCTCTTCCTAGGAGCGGTTTGGCGCTACCTTCCAGCAGACTTTCTCCGTAGATGCCTTTCCCTGTCTCGACAGACACAAGTGCACTCGAGCGTGGCGGCAAGTTCACGCAGTAGGAAAATACACGCGCTGTAGTTGAGGTGGTTGGCGTAGTTTTATGATCCTCGGGCATTACGACAAGTTTCCGCTGCCTCAACTCGTTGGCTTAAAGGTCGATGACGGCAGCGTATTTGCACAACTCCATTCCGAGTATAACGTCTCTCGCTCAGTCTCGTAGAACGACGAACTTTACCGTACACGTCTCGCCGTGAATCTGGACGCGAGCAGTGCATCTTCCGACTGGCGGGATAAGGTGTCCCCCGGCGGTGCGTATGTGTGGGCCATCCCACGGCGTCGTCACTTTCCGAAGGCGTTGGGAGAGCCTCTCACTCAGGACGGAGTCGTCTGCTCCGGTGTCGACGAGAGCCGACGCGTCGTGGCCGTTGATAACCGCGTTTACGTTACTTTTACCGTTGTAGGAGCGTCGCTTCCGTCTCTGGGGGCGTTCGAGTGAGGGCCCTCCGACGTTCGTGGCGGATCATGGCGTCGGTCACCTTTGGTAACTCAACGTCAAAGGTTTGCCGCCCTTAGTTTCCTCGGTGAGGGGCGAGGGGCAACAGGCTTTCACGTCGGGGTCGGTGCATCGCCGAAGCTGGGCTTCGTGACGACGGCGACCGGGACTCTCGCCGGGACGCAGGCTCGGGGGACTCAGGTCTTCGCAGGTACTCGTTGATCTCCCTAGGACGTTCATCATAACGGGGGCGCGGGTCATTCGGGTGGAACCCGCGCAGCCCGAGTCGTCGGTATGGGCATCGGCGGTAGGTGTGGTTTGCTTCCCCGCAGTGTAAGCACAGAGGGCGTCGGTCGGGCCTCCTCCAAACGGCGGTCTTCCTCGCAGCGTGCTGCTTCGGGCGTGGAGCATACTTCGGCGCCGGTGCCTCACGTCGGGGATCTGGCTGGAAGTTTCCTGTGACGGGAGGTGCTCTCTTGGCGGCGACGGCGTAGGTCAGCGCCGGCTGTGGAGGAGCCACTGCGACCGGGACCTCTGGCAAAAGCACCTGGTGTACCTCCTCACGAACAGCCTCCGGGATCGAAACAGCGGCTGGTCGTTCTGGAGAATATAGCAACCGTTACAGTTCTTCTCGAACCACATTCTGAATGAACTTCCGAAGGTTGTCGATGCCAACGCCGCAAGGGCCAGGGTGGGATGATGGAAGGAATGAGGTGGCAGACACGCCAGCGCGTCTCTGATAAAGACGTGCCCTGGCCGACAGCGCTCGTTCAGGCCATGCAAGAATGGTCTATGGTCGTGTATGGAAAATTATATGGAAGGCTATCACCCCCTATGGCCCTCTTTGGTCGGCCATAGAAATCCATAGATACGGTTACAGCCAGCTATAGAATAATCTATTGCCGTTTGTCTGAAGACTGGGAACCAACAAATTGTTTTTACCCGCCTATAGAATATTTTATGGCGCGGAGTCTAAAGACAGGGAACCGAATATTGTTCTTTACCCGCCTATAAAAAATTTTATGGCCCCGAGTCTAAAGACTCTGAACCAATAAATTGTATTTACCCGTCTATAGAAAAATGTATGGCCCAACGTCTAAAGGCTAGGAACCAATAAATTTTCTTTACACGCCAATAAAAATCCCCGGCGCTTATCTTTTTAGGAAAAACGCTCCAGGTTAGAAAATTAAAGCAACACTAAATTTCTGTATTACCGGTGACAAAGCAGGACCCAAGAAATGTTCTCTGCTGTTGCAACGAGTTGTGAAAATCAGTAATATAGTTTGTTTGAAAGATACATTGAAATACGTGTGCAACTATTAAAATTAATTATTACTCCCAAAAATGAAAATAGATTACACTGGTATCCGAGCTCTGTAATGAAGCAATAGCTTGAATGCAATCTTCTGCACCAATGTACTGCATTTCATCACTGATTTGCCAACATGATTCATCAAACTTATTAAAAAAAATATTAGATTTTAGTTAATTAGCCTAATAATCTACATTAGCTTTTTTCAGGGTGTAGAATTAAGAGGTGGTGGCTATTCCGAGACACAATTCAAATAATGTATTAAGTACGAGTAATATTTGCTCCGCCTCTCCGTGTTTATGGGACAAATGACGGCAGTCACCGGCGAAGTCGGACTCAAAGATTAGACTGCCATATATAGAGGTAGTACGAACTTAGTGTACGTAGAGAGGGGTGGGGTTCCAGTGTGGCATTCTGCGTCCGGCACTCAGCGAGTACGGACGCAAGGATGGCTCGCTCCGATGGAGCGGAGATAACGGCCCTCTCGGGCCGCGGTTTTGTTTCTGACGACGTGTCCCAGGATTATCAGATTGTGATGCCTGCCCTACCAAGGGGCGTTGCTTTTTCAAACACCCTGTTCCTTCACTGTGATATCGGCGGACGGCCGTATAGGATTGCAGACTTCAAGACAGGACTCGAGACCACAGGTGTGCTGCAAGACCTGAAGGCATGTTGACCGTACCAGGTGAACCACGTCTGGGCGGTCACATTCCGCTCCTTGGCCTCGAAGCACATGCTACTGGAGGCAGAGGAGCTCCAAGTTAAGGGTAGGCGTTGCCTTGTTCTGGATCCAAACAGAGCCGAAGTGCGACTGAAGTTTCATTGGCTGCCCACTGATGTCCCAGATGACCTCGTTCGGAAGGCACTCAAGCCTTTCGGAAAGGTGGAAGGTGTGGAAGGGGAGACCTGGCGCGAAGAAGGCTTCAGTGGCGTTGAAACGACCACAAGGAGAGTGCGCCTCAAACTCAAGGACGGCGTGACGACGGAACAACTGCCCCACCAGCTGCGGATTCTCTACGCCAACACGCTTGTCATCGTCTTAGGTAGGGCCCATATGTGCTTCATCGAGACTGTCGGGCGCCGCGCTGTGATTCGTGTCGGCGATTTGGCCACCTCAAAGAGGACTGCGTGCAAACCTACGCAACAGCCACCAACGTGGAGCCCGAGGATCCCAACTCTGAACTTTTGAAGGACGAGGTTGAGGCCAAGGCGACTGTGGGAGAAATAAAGTCTACGGACGCTGCACCCACTCAGTGGCCAGCCTCAAGCAACGCGGAATCAAGCGACATGTATCCGCCACTCACCGTGCCTTTAACGGAAGCAGCCTCGGCAGGGGTGACGAAGGAAAGCAAAACCATCGATTTCCACCTGATGCAGGCAGCGGAGGATCCCAGGTCGTCGCTGACGAAGCGCGGCGGGGACAACGGAAAGACCTACGAAACTACTATGGACGTTATAGAGGGAACCACTGGAAAGCGACCCCTGGACCTGGCAGAGTGTGAATGCACCGAGGACGAGGAGCACTCAGACGCGCCACTCCAGCGTCCGCCATGGCAACCGGTAAAAGCCAGAAAAAGTCGTATCATCAAAGTCCGAGGACCATCAGATGACCGATGTTAGCCCATCTCACTGTAGGTTGTATTCTTGATCACCTCAGTCCTTTTTAACGCTCACAATATTTCTCAACGATGTATAAGCTTAAAGTTGTAACGCTAAATTGCGTCAGCTTGATTGTCCACCCTATTGAAAAAACCAGCTTAAGCTGGTTAAGCTGGTCCCAGCTTCAAGCTGGGTTATTGCCCCAGCATGCCCAGCTTGGCATGATGGTTAATCTGGTCATGCTGGGACCAGCTTGGCAAGCTGGTCCCAGCTTGGCAAGCTGGTCCCAGCTTGGCAAGCTGGTCCCAGCTTGGCATGCTGGTCATGCTGGTTGATCTGGTCATGGTGGGTGATCTGGTCACACTGGGTAGATCACCTAGCATGACCAGATGGTTCAATGATTTGTCATGCTGAGGGAATTGGCTGAACAAACCAGTTTAGCCATTCAACCAGCTGAAATAAATACACAGGTAAACAAGTTATGCCTAAATGCCTCGAGGAACATTTATTGAGAGGATGGAGGCTTGGGTGTAAATCTTGTGTGCTGTTTCACCCAAGCATGCACATTTATTCTTTGGGTGCCGGTGGTTCCCTCCTTCTTGTGCCTTGTCTTGCGTTGTCGGGCAGGAACTCCTTTAAAACCTCCCGCACAATCTTCTGAAGTTCGGGGCCCGTGTGCCGAGCTTCGGTGGGTTTGGCTCCCTCGTAGTACATGAGACCATCTGGGGAAATTTTAAATAGATGTGTGTTAGATGGGCAATAAAACAAGCAATAAAATGGCTAGGTGGGCTAGTTAAGTAGTGCATGATTTGAATGGAAAAGCGCCTAAAAAGCGTGGACACAAGAGAAGGATGGACAGCACGGAGTGCTACCTTACAATTGAACATGTTTGTGTTGTTATAAGTTAGCGCTTGGTCCTGTCCATCCCTTTCACCTGCTTTTTGAGGTGCTTTAGTCAAATAAAGTAAGCTCCAAGATTTCCTCTTGTTGGCTCATCAAACGTTTCTGAAGACAGTGCGTATGTCACGTTCACCGTACAGTTTTTCTGCATACAAGTGTTTCAAACTACCAAAATTATTAAGAACTTTGTGTTTTACTTTTCAGGAAGTATGATCCAAGAGCGACAGAAATATAACTTATACAAACAAAAGGGCAAGGACAGTGAGCTGTGGGTGAGGTCATAACATAATAAAATTTCAGAGAGGTCGGTGAAAAGGCCAATGTCAAAACACTACCTGCTTCCCTCCCCTATCGCACAAGTGCAATAGTGGAAGTGATTGACACATTGTTTCAGTTTTATGTTAATTAACACTGATCCCAAACTCCCGTAGTGATAGGTGTATCAATTTCTATTTAATCTGTTTGCTTTCCCTAAAGTAAAATGTACAATATTATGCGGTCGATTTGATGTGTTGGATCATTGCTGCCCCTTATTCTGCTCTGCTGCCCCTTTTCTCACCTCTTTGCACTGACTATGCCATGACGCTCGATGCAAGCTTTTTACTGCTGCGCTCAGTTTTGCTTGCTTTCCCATCCTATTACTGGTTTAACTTTTCTTGTGATCCCAACTTTTTAACCAAGCAGAAGCACAGTGTACAGTTCCCCTCATACTAGCATGCATGTGGAGCTTCACTACTCTGCACTCATGTGCCAGGAGCAGTACTTGACGGGGGTCAACATCTGGGTCAGCTCAATGGTCTCTAAAGTTTTGCTCACTATTAAAAGCTGCCATGTGTAAGTTGCAACTGAAAATTAATTGCTAACTTTAAATAACATTTCTGAAAAACAAACACTCGGCAAATATTGCAATAACCATAAACTTCACCAAGGCTGTGAAATTCTATCTGAAAGCAGCTGCAGTCATAATTGCTTCCTCTCATTTATAAGCCTCCCAACGCTTAATTGGCTGTCACTTTTCCCTAAAAAATCTCGTCAACCAATTCTACTGTATTTCATTGAACTCGCTTAAATTGCAAAGTAACTCAAAAGGATACCAAAAATGGTATAAAATTAAAATTATAAGAAATCTCCAGGAAGTAGAGATACCGTAATAATCAAGACATGGAAATAATCCTTCCATTTCTGTAAATCATCTACTACCGTGCATGCACTACATTGCATGACCCTGTTAGCGAGAACACCGAATCAGCAGCTTTTTCCATTACGTTAAAAGCAGAATGATGGGCAGAAAACTTTACCACTTAGGTTAGTTCTCCAAATTAGCTCCTTTTACCATGCCAGTATGACAATCACAAATCACAAATTCATTAAAAAAAATTATGGCAATCCTTTTTTCTTTTTTTGCGTTAGCAGAATGATGGGCAAAGCCCCAATTCCTAGGAAAAAAAATTAAAATATGGTAATCTGTTGCTTGCATTAGCAGTGTCATGCTTGTACTTAATTATTTCAAAAAAATATTTTAAACAAATTTCAAATCTTGCGGAGCATCTTCAGTCGCCTTTGCATGAGCTGTTCAAGGACAAGCTTTCTCACTTACTTGCAAGGGCCAGCAGTTTCATTGGGGTTACCGGCAGCTTCCCCTTTGCCCCATCCTTCAATTGACTCCGGCAGGGGGCACCGGTCACACTTCTCGCGCACATCTCTTCGTGAGTATAAATACACCTGCACAAATCTTTCACATATCGTTTGGGAGGGAGTCTGTCTACTAAATCATCAATCTTTAGCTTCGAAAGCTTTATCTTGCCACCGAGGTGTACCTGCAATGAAAAATCATTCGCTTAGTCATGAAAGTCTAACGACTTTCAAAGGTTTTGTGCGTGCTTCCCTCCTTGCCCGCACATCATCTGCTCACGCTCGGTTCGGTCATTCTGGGATTCTGGATAATGACAACTTAGCCACCTGAGCACTTTGCCGCGTACAGCATATTTTTTATATTTAAGCTTTTTCGGCATGCTTAACCTATCCACTGCAGCTTCTCATTGTTTCCTCCATATATATTGTGAATGCATTAATGGAGCCTTGCAATAAATCTTGATCAAGATTGAAGTTTCACTAAAACTGACCTCACAAAACATAGGAACCAAGATAAACCAAAATTTTCCCGAAAATCACAATATTTAAAAAAAATATTGGCAAACTAAAATTAAAAAAAAAAAAAAAAATTCCTTCTCAATGTTGACAGTGGTACGCCAATGGCAGGAGTGAATCCCCATGAAGCTTGTCTTCGGAGAGTTGTCGGTCCACAACAGGCTCATTCAGTCGAGCGTACCGACGTCACATATGCACCAAACCAGACCGCTAGACTTCACTGTACACACAACAGCAGGTTCGAATAGCCGAAATCCAGATTTCGTAGTAAACACACTCTTCTCGGATGCCACTAGTCCTCCCGAGACTCCTAAAGGCCCGTTCACACTCTTGCGACCGAGTAAGACCCAGTAAGACGTCTTAGAACAGGATACGCTACAGCGGAGCTGGTCCTAAGATGTCGCAAGAGGATTAAAGACCGGTCTGGTCTCTCTCGGTCGTACTCGGTTGCAAATGTGTGAACGGCTCTTAACACTCTCGACCAGTGTGACTAGTGAACCCACTTGCAGCGACTCCAATTGATGAGCATTCAGTTTACTTTCGAACGTGACTGTGAATGAGAATATTTTATAGCATTAACTTAGTACTTTGTAACAGCAAGAAGCTTCTAAAGGCATAAAAAGTTTACAATGATGCAACACAAAATGCTAACAATAGAACAATGTGGTTGCCTACCATGCCATCTTCCTCAGAAAAAGCCGGTGGTGTGGGATCTTCCCTGTCCAAAACAGGCACTGGCAGCTGAAGTCCTGTAACACAGATGTTATCTTAAGTAAGACGGAACAGCATTACCGTGGGATACACTTGATAACCGAGTACACTATGTAATGTCCCCAATTGCATTAGAGCACCCATTCAAGTAATAAGATATATAATTAACAAGCGCTTACTTTTATATGTATCGTAATATACCAAGGAAATGCCCATTCCTTTTTTGACAAAAAATGGGTTGAACTATACTGTTAGTAGGAAAGCACAAAATAAATAAGGACGAATTTGACATAGATGAAGCACTCTCAACTGAAGGTTTACCATATTTACCAAATACCATATTTTCGCGATTCTAAGCACCCCCCCCCCCACCCCCCCCCACCTTTTCCAAACGAGACGCCTGAAAAAAAGTTTGTATGCGAATGTAAGCACCCCCATCCCATGCAAGAAATTTGAGAGCGGCGATGCCGGTATCATCTTGTTATCCATTAAGCTCGAGCGCCGGAGTCGCGAACGGTCGCTAGCGCTTGGTTTCAACATCACTTAATGGATGGCAGTGTTTGTCGGCGTTCGTCTCGCAATCATACTCTGTTCACTGCGCATTTGTGGTTTGCGGAAATCCTCCACCATCAGTGTGAAGAGAATTTTATACACGATGAAGTTGAAGCAAACGGTTATTTCTTATGCGGAGGATAGTGGAAATCATGACACTGCTGAACACTTCAAACTGGACAGAGCAGGTGTGATTTGGTGGAGGAGAGGGTGGAATCTGATCTTCAAGAGTGCCGTGACCCACAAAAAGTTTACGGAACCGCGCAGCTGCCAACACCTGGAGCTCAAGATCCGAAACCGAAACCATGCCACTCCACTCCGTCGCCAACTGATTCCAAAAATTGCATGCAAAATCTAATTGTCGAGCATACGACAAAGAACAGTCCAGCAGCCCGTGCTTGCCGAGCCGGCAAATGAGGTGCCACGTGCTTGCCAGGCCTGCAAACAAAATACAAGCTAAGCACACACACACACACAAAAAAAGAACCTGAGCGCATAGATGCAATACTTCGCAAGCCAGGGTCAAGACGGAGCGTTTTGTGCAACGACTGAACTCGCGACAAACAAGCGCGCTATGAGGGTTCAGCGTGCACACTTTGCCTTCTTTGCTTTAGCTCACTTCTCTTCACCCACTTTCTTTTGCGGTACATTTTATACGAAAGAAAGCCCACCGACAGAAACCTAGGTAATCAATACTTTGACACAGCAGTAGTAACGGATATTTAAACAAGGACAGGAATGTTGATGAACATGTGTCGGCACTTAATTTCATTTTAGAAGCTGTCATATCTGCAGCGAGGTGGGGACGGCAACACCCGACGTCGCACGGCCGCGGTGACTGAAAGGCAGTTAGAAAAATATAGTTTTCCCACGACCCTTGCTTTGATAAACGAGTGCTCCAGCTCACAAAATAACTCCCGCCGCAAAAAAATAAAATGTTTTGTTTTACAGCATGTGGCATGGCTGCTACCCAGCACGCACGCTAGTGTCAGAGCGTCCGCATACACCTGCGTCTATCGTGAAAATATTTATAAAAAAAAGAGGCGAGACGAGACCAACAAGACCACGAGAGCGCGAGACGGCAGGAAAACCATGCAAGACCGGATGGACAATTGATGCAGGGGGCTTTGTGTCGGGCATCTGCTTGCGCCATATAACACATGCATGCTCAATTACAGTACTCGGTTTAGTTTCGGTATTGAGAGGCAACCGAAATTGGTTTCTTGGTACAAGCATAGTGTAGATTACCCATATTTTGGCAAAATGTAGCGGGATGGAGCAAGGTTAGCCCCTTGGAGTAGTTTGGTGCAATGGTTAACTGTCTTCCTATAGTATTCACAAATGCATTTTGATATACCCTTTACCCTCCTCCCCCCCCCCCCCCCTAGAAGTCAGGTCATCCTTTCTTCATTTGTGCACTCACCTTGTTGTTGACCGACTGGCGGGACGTCAGCCACTGGCAAGAGAGCTGCGGGAGGAGTCGGCACAGTCTGCACTCTCTCAGCAGGACATGTTGGCACTTGGTTTGCTGGCAATGGACAAAACAAGGAACTTGCAATGACAGTATGTGGGACAAGGCACCATATTTTAGAATGCCAGCACCAAATAAAAAGGCTTAACCTCCCTGCCATTCATCAATATCCAATGATGCTTACTGTAGAATCCTTCACTGCCCCTCTCCTACCCTGCAAGTCAGTTTATTTTCTGTATTTGTGGCACTCACCCAGTACTTGGTCAACTGGCGGTACCAGAGCTTGATCCACTAGTACTTTAGCAGGCAACGCACGCTGTGTAGATGGGCACCCTGGAGACATAAAAGAAAGATATGTTACAGGCGAGCACAATGATCAATCGCTGCCTTGTAGGGTAGTATTTGAGAGACGTGAGACCCACTTTTCAATTTAGAAGATTGAAAAGAAATAATCTGGCCAGGCAAATATTGTAAAATACTTCCTTTTTATAATGCACCGAAGTATTGAATGCACTCTCAAATTGAGTATATAAAAGAATTGATTTTTGTTTCCCTGTGTATTTATTGCATCCGGAATATGCAAAGGAAGCAAAAAGAAGTTAGAGAGAAAGCAGTACGAGACAAAGTGCCCAGTCGGCTTGGGCAAGAAGACGTTGACTCAAAATTACCAAGAACACGGCACGCAAAAGCCCAGAGTCGCCGACAACAAGCAGACAATGCAAGGCAGAGGACGCACGGGTGAAGGGGAAAGCATGCACAGAGCAAAGGTTCGCTCGTTGCCGAGATGCACAACTATGAGAGCATGTGCTTCAATGGCATGCCTCGCGGAACAACCAAGCCGTGAAAGTGACTGGGCGTGTTCCGTATTTAGACATTCTGCATACTTTTTAATCACGTGCTTCACAGAGCCGGCCCAAGTGATTAGGGTAGCTGAAGCAGGCTGTCATGTTACAGATACGTGATCAGCAGAGTCAGAAAGGGAAAGAAATAATATTCTGGATACACCCAAGATCTCGGCAAACAGCCATGACATCAGGCAAGGGGTTCTTCAAATTTATGCAGTTTCGGTTGCATTTTCAGTCCACATCTTCTTTGTTAATGGTTTGACGCTACTTAGGAACCCAGCACAGTAAGAAAAATCTTAGCTTCATTTTCCTTACCATAAAGGGTAGTAACAGGAACTTTCACAAACCATACCTAATTTCTGTGTTTATCTTTCAAAGTTGCCACACATAGCTGTCACGCACCCCAGGAAGCAGCTTCATTTTCGGGCAAAATAAAGATGATAATTATGTGAATAACCATGGTATATTTTCTTTGAGCATACTGGAGGGTTATGCTCAAGTAGAGACCTGCTGGAAAGGCACCCTGCTTGGCGAACGCAACTGCCATTTTTTTATTTGGGGAGAATTGTGCCGATTGCAGGAGCCTTTCTGGGAGCCTCCGTTTCCCAGAGATGCTTATATGGTGTAATTTGAGTAGCAACATCAGTCTTCTGATCTTGCTAAAAGCTTGTCACGGCTGCAAACTGCCGTGAATGCAATCTATGTGTTTCACTTATCCTACAGTAGACTGACATTTTGCAGAGCATTTCTTTCTCTCACTCCTCAGAGCCATCCATGGCTAGCAATGAACAAGGCAAACAAAAACAAAATAAAGAAAAGCAGTTAAAACTTGCCTGTGCCAGAAGTTGAAGGCACTGAAACTGGGCCGCAGTGAACATCCTTCATTGGATAGGGTGCATTCTCTAAATAGAAGGAGATGCACAGATGGATGTAAGAAAAAATGGAGTGGCCTATCAACATTACCAAGCAACTCACCCCACTCAAGGAATGGTGACTCATAAAAGGGAAGCCCCTCATCGGAGGTAGTGGCTGTGTCTCTACTCTCTCCTGCGGCAACTACTGAAAAATGAAGTTTGAATTGAACCAGAAGGCAAGCAGTAAAAACTATATTCCTTTCAAAGTTTTCGTTAACTATGAGAGGGGGAAACATACACACCAATTTTTGTGGCCAGGGCCTGAGCCAGCTGCCGACTGTGGCTCCTTTCTTTGGCCAGTTCTTTTTTTAGTTCTTTTATAACTTCCTCTTTTTCCCTGAGGACAGTGATGGGTACCATGTCACTCTGGTAGCGGCTGGGTGTCTCCGTCTGCTTGATCTGGGCAAAAACGTGTGTGTTTGCTGACTTTAATCAACTGCCTAAATAATGAAACCTGTATGGCTGTGGCTAGAATTCCGTCCAGACAAAACGATAGTCACCGCTAGAGTTCCGTCTAAACTGCCAATGTCCAGTCTCCGAAGTGATCTTCGTAGGGCTTTTTATTCAGTGTCGATGAAACGTGCGTGTCAACCTAACCGGTCCACCTCTTTACGCTGCTTCGCTGCAACAGTATGTGGCGGCTCATTACAAAAATGTAACTCCCCTGACCCACCTTACACGCCGCTTTGCGGCAGCAGTACCCCCGTTGCTCAGTTTATAGTTCCGCTTCGACGGAACTCTACACTGTTTGCTATCATTCCTTCAGTGCAGACAGAACTTCAGTGGCGACTATTGTTCCATCTGGAAGGAACTCTAGACACTTCCAACTTATATTGGCGCAATTTCATACCTTCTGCTTTTTCCTGAAATCAGCGGCAATGTCATGCAGCCTTGTTTTCTTTCCGATTTCCTTTTGTTTTCTCTTCTCCTTGTGACCGAGGTCTTGGACTTTCTGAATGCAAAGAGAAGGAATCTAAAATTTATACAACTACACCGCTAAAGGCCCCAGACAAAATATCAAGGCTCGCTCAGTAAGGAAGTAAGGTTTGTAATCGCTAAAAAAAAAGGAAGTGGATATTCTGCCGGCAGGGGACACAATAACCTGGGAAAAGAATGCCGGCAGTTGTCCCCTATTGGGTCTCATATAAAACTAATTGAGAAAACGGCTATTTGAAGCTGTGGAGTAGCTTACTGGTAAGGTGTCTATCTCACACATATCGGGACCCTGGTTCAATTGCAGTGTGGGCTTATTTTTTCTTTTTCTCAAACTTTTTTTTTTTGGTGGGGGGGGGGGGGGCTTTTGCAATATTTACCGCATTTTTTTTCTTTTCTTTTTATTAACACAGGAAAAATGTAATGTTGCAAATGAAACTTCGCTGAATTAAATGGTATAGCACTGCACCCTTCCCGGGGGTAAATGAAAAACAGCCCGGGGAAAAAAAAATGCCGCCAGTTTCGGACGGCGCGTGTATCACTGGGGAGCGGACGGCGTGTTTATCACTCGAACGGCGCATGTATCACAGTCTGCAGCTGCTCATTAGAAAAATATTAACACTATTGGCCCACCTGTCCACCGGCAGTACAAGTATCGCTGTCCTCCATTCACCCCAGGAAAGGCAGTCCCATTCCATTTAACTCAGCGAAGTTTCGTCGACAACATTAGATTTTTCAGTGTTAATTGTAAAAAAGAAATGCTGCAGATATCGTCAAATGCCTAAAAAAAAGCATCATATAATCCCTCATTGACAATTGACTCAGGGTCCTGCTGCGTACGAGACAGACACCTTATCAGTGAGCTACTTTACAGCTTCAAATAGTCTTCATAATTTGTTTTATACGAGACCCAATAGGGGGCAGCTGCCGGTATTTTTTTCCCCCTAGTTATTATGCCGGCAGACCGCAGGATAATCCACTTCAAAAAATAATAAACCGAGCTGATTTCATTAAAAAGGTGCCATTTGTTTTTTACTGTTAAAAAAAATGCTGACTACAACAAGCTACTATGAGCAAATATTAAAAAAAAGTGTAATAGTAATTATTCATAAATAAAATTGTTAAGTTTGACCCCTTTCTTTGCAGTGCCTAGAGTGCCGTCTAACGGCTCTCCACAGGATAGTTCAAGTGGCACCCAAAGTCTTTACAGGGGCAGTGCGCCGTCACATTCTGCGAATTGCAGAGGCCACTGCCTCTGTAGACTGAACTTCGCTGATTCAAATTTTGTCAACATTCCAAGCACTAGCAGTCGGAGAGCTCTGATGAGCGGAAATTTAGGGGCAAGGTCAGAACGCTTTCCAACACAAACCACACTTCTATTGCAATATATGACCTATCAGAGGCTTACCACTGCTTTATCTTACCATTAGGTGCAGATCAAGCAATGTTGCGGTAGTGAGGTATATTATTCTTTGTATTGCGATGCAGGGCCGCAGAAGTTGGAGACAAAAATAAAAAAATCCTTTTGAAAATAAAAATCTACTTGTGATATGCAATATTGAACCTGGACTTCCATAAAGTAAAACACATTGCTTGCTCAGCCTGCTAACCACTGCACCGCCACAGCGAGCTAAATATGTCATTTTTGGGGGTTTCTGATATCATTTTCAATGCACGAAAATAAAATCCGAAATAACTATGGTTAATTTATCAGGAAAGAAAGAGATCATGTAAGCGTGCTAATTTCGGCTGAACTACACTAAAATATGATGTTAATCGCTAAACGAAGGCACTTGAACGCTCCATAGCAGTACTTGTCGGGCAGCACTTGAACACTTGGTTGGAGCGCCGTAAAACAGCACTCTAAAAATGCGATTGCTTTTTTTTAAGGCTTGAACTGTTTTTCGAGTGGATGTGTTGGATTATCTCTATCGGATAATGAATTTTTACAATTGGTTCAAGGAAAAGTGGCACAGCAAGGCAAAACTTGCCTTTCCTACTGGTCCTACGAGCTTTGCTGTTCCACCGACAATCCTTGGAATGGGGTACCGTTTTGTCTGCATTTTCTTCAGGAGGTCATCCACAGACTCTGCGGAATATATATACATATATTAAACATAAATCAGATTTTTTAAACATGCTTTTTTCCAAAAAGATAAAATAAATATGAACCGAATTTTGTAAATATCAGTTTAGTTGACATGTCGCAAAATACCAGGAAAGCTATGATCTGTGCGTGAGCGCGGCAGGACCGAGCGCGAGAACTTTACTTGTCATACGAGTGGACAAAAAAAAACAATAAAAATTCTAACTCTGGTAAGCCTTTTTTTTTTTTTCGCTTTTTGGCAGTCGCGGCCCGACAGGCGTAGCTTAGCCGAGTGACGAAACGGGTCTCTTAGTTGTGCGGATCAAGCATATCTGACCAAGCTCGCACCCCAAAAGATGCCTCCATTCCCTAGGAAAAAAAAACAACAAAAAAACTTACCGCCCAGAAGGAGCACGTGAGCATCGTAATAATCCTCTTCATCGCCGCAGTCCGACACCCAGTAGGCCTCGTATATCCGGGTGGCGTCGAAGTCTTCGTCATTTCGGGGCGAGAAGCTTCTGATCAAAGACGTTGGCAATATCAGCTGCCAACCGTCCGTAAATTTTACATATGCGTGCATCTACTCTACAGCCTCCTATCTTAGAAAAAGAACACAAACCACCGAAACACGTTGAAGAAAGAGCAAGCAGAGCAGCAGAGATCGATACACGACACAGAAGCAGAACCAGCGAACGTGATGCGTTCGGTTTGTGCCGAAAGACATATGTAATCGTTCTCAGTAAGGGCACGTGAAAGCAACTCTCAGTCACCCCCTCCTGAGTCACGCCCGCCCGCACCGCCACTCACACTCACAAAAGATGTTGGCATTATCCGAACGGAGTGGGTGGGGTCCCTGCACCGACGTCACAACACAGCGCCGTTCCGCCATCGCTACGTACTTTTCGAACGCACCTTGCGCCTGCGGCTTTCGTTTTGGTGTGGCGGCGTTGTCTTGGTAAAGCGCCGGAGTTTGAGCGGTCGTGGACTCGGGCGTTGCTCGGACGCTGCTACACGGAGCCCAACGCCTAAGTGTTATTCGGGTGTAGCCGCTGCCTTGGCCGAAAGCTGGCAGATCGAAGCCAGGAAGGCTGCAACAGAATTAACTGCTGGGCTGCAAGAACGCAAAAAGATACGGACAAGTAGAAGAACAGGACAGGACAGGCTCTGTCCTGTCCTGTTCTTCTTTTGCGCTCTTATCCTCTATGAGGCTGCAACTCAGGGTCACAAGGGTGCCTACATGTTTCCGGTGCGGCGGGCACATGTAGGCACCCTAAATCGAATGAGCTCGAGAAACACTGCCTCCGCGCATACACGGCGTAGCAGACGACGCGCCAACATGGGCTGCGTTCAATGTCTTGGATCCGCATTACTTAGGCGGGTCATGTCACGTGACAACACAGATTGTAAAGCGCTGAATGCGGGTAAGTTTGGGAACGCCAAGGTACCAAGCACTTATCCTGGGGCCTGGAGTAAGGTCGAGTAAATTTTGGAACACGGCACACGGCCATGCCGACGAGGCTACGAATCGAATCTGACGTCAGGTGTAAAAGCCAAACAACCCACATAAAAAAAAAAAGAAAAAAAAAAGCAATGAGGAAAAAAAAGTTGTTAGCAGTGTGACAGTAATAGCAATAAATAATATTTATTTCTACTAATGACGGCCGTAGTGCTTCAGAAAGGCGGAACAAGACAACAATAAACGGGACGCATTCGAGTCGCGAAGGAAGAAAACAAATGCAATGCGCTCTTCGGGAAGGCACGTGACCGTAACCTCCAGTCACCCTTCTCCTAAACGTGTCAGCACTCACAGAAATCTTTTGGTGGCGTTTTTTGAACGAAGGAGGTGACTGTAGTTGACTCTTTTCTCTGAAATCCGGAACTCCGGAAGACTACTTCAAATCATTGGGTGTTCGCGAGTCGCGACGTTCTTTGCGGCGGAGGGATTTTTTTTTATTTAGCGGTCATCAAACATCTAGCCAATCCTTGTGCTTGTGGGCTTGTGTGTAAGTCCGGCAGACTTCTTGACTGATATCCTTCGTATTCTACGTTTGGCGACCGAAATATTTATGACATGGCTACTCCTGGCAAACGACGAAAGCGGTACCTAGACGCAGACCAGCCTTACCTCATCCCGGTATCAACCTTACGTTTCCAGAAGACGCTTGTGGGTCAGGGGGCTAACGCTGGCACCTCTGTAGTTACGGAACCGCTTGACGGGGACGAAGGTAGAGAGAACGGAGGTTACCGTAGTGACCCTCTAGGTACTGACGAAGACGACATCCAAGACTGCCACGGAGCCTACCGTGATGACCCTGTAGATACTGACGAAGATGACGCCGAAGACTGCCACGGAGCCTACCGTGATGACCCTGTAGATACTGACGAAGATGACGCCCAAGACTGCCATGGAGTCGACGTCGGAGATGTCTCCACCGACAGTGAGCATGCATCGCAAGACCAAGCTGATGACGGAGGGGACAGCACTGATGATGAACACCCTGACGGCGAGGTGTCGAGAGAGAAGTCTCTCGAAGAAGCCGTGATCTCTGAAGACGACGACGACGAGGAGATGGGACCTGGGTCCATCGAAGATCTCTTGACCCTGTGCGTGGAAGAGTTTGGTGCTAGTATGCTGCCGCATTCACCAACGTCGAAAGCTGGCGCCATCGCGATGGTTATATCGTATGCCGTTTCGGAGAGATCGACGTGGGCCGGGCTCGGCAAGCTATTGACACTTGTGAATGCCTTGTTTGGCAGCGCAGTTCTGCCGACAAGTATCTACAAGCTGAGGAAGCTGTGGACGAAAAAAAAGGAAAACTTGGTGAAGTACCTTTATCTGTGCCCATGCTGTGACACGGTCCTCAACTCAAGCGATTCGATTGCACGATGCGATGTGTGCAATTTTGAGGAGTCCACTGAGAAGCTAAGACATGGTGGGTCATATTTCTTGATGCTCGACCTCCACAAGCAGCTCAAGCACCTAATTGGAAAAACAAGTGTCGAGCTTCATCATTCGCTGTCAATGCTAGCACTCAATGACTCTGATTTGATTACGGACATTACAACAGCCGAAGCTTGCAAGCACTTGCGCCAAGAGCTTGCCTTAGGTCCGAGTGACCTAACAATCACGTTCAACACTGATGGGAGCCCCATCTTCAAATCCTCGAAGACGTCAGTGTGGCCGATTCAATTTACAGTAAATGAACTACCCCCTGCAGTGCGCTTGCACCACCCTACATTGGCTGGACTCTGGTTTGGGAAGCGCCATCCAGACATGTCGGTTTTTCTGACCAAGTTTGTGGAGGAAGTCAACACTATGGCCCCTGTGACATGGATCCATGGAGATCAGCAGCTCACTTCAAAAGCCTTTGTACTGTGCTGCAGCGTTGATACCCCTGCCCGTGCTGCCGTGCAAAACATGGTCTCTTTCAATGGGTTCTTCGGCTGCCCATATTGCTTGATGAAAGGCGAGCACGAGGAAGGTACATATAATTTTCATTCTTTTGCAGATATACACTTTTGCCTGCTAATCAAGGAAGATATCATTGATCAGGTCGCAATGGTTGATCAGTTAAATACTTTGCTTTCTTTTTGCAGGATGCGTGCGCTATGTCGCCGATGAAGCCCCAATTCCGAGGACATCGGAGCTTGTTGTTCGAGACATGGAGCTCGCCCAGAGGCTGGGGAGCCCTGTAAATGGTATCAAGGGTCCATCACCTCTCATGAACCTTGAAGGTAATTTGTGTGTGTGGAATGTGTCATGTCAAAACCTACCTGACATCGTTTTTGCTCAGGTTTCGACTTGGTTGCTGGCATGAGCGTGGAATACATGCATTGTGTTCTGCAAGGGGTGGTGCGACAAGTCACGGAGCTCCTCTTTTCATCGACAAGCTCACGACAGGCATACTACATCGGTAACCGTTTTAACGTGTCTGTTACAATGCCATAGCATGCACGAAACAAAAACCTTAGAGTTTGTCATTGTCAAACAGCATTCAATCATGTGTCACCATCTGGCAGCTAGGAAAATTGATAGATGATGTGCAAGCCTTTTGCAAGGTTGTTAATGCCCGGGTATTTAATTCTTGCCTCATCTATTAGCTCATTCACATGGGAATTCCAAATGATATTGTCACAATGAATGAATGGCCGAACTTCCTCTCCAAGCGCGCTTGTTGCCACGGACGTCATTGCCGAGAATCGAGTGATTGCTTGAAATTTTCCAAACGCTCGGCAACTGCGCAATGCGCACTTGTAAAGATGTGTAGTTTGCACGGTCGCCGAGTGTTTGAAAAGTTGGAAGCAATCGCTCAATTCTGAGTAATGACGTCCGCGGCAACGAGCGCACTTGTAGAGAAAGTTGAGCAGTAGATGCACCCCGGCAGAGCATTCTTTGCCCTGAGAACGTTTCTGTTAGTCCTCTCGTCACCTTCATTCGTGGCATTTCTGGTGGAGGTGCAGGGTACTTATCCTCGTACCACTCACATGCCAAGTAAGACTGATTCAACAAGGTTGTGGGCCGCTTCGAGCGTCGCGGGCTCAGGGCGAGAATGAACAGGCACTTTCTAGAACGAGAAACAAAGATGAAACGGTAAAAGTTACGCCTCGAGTAGAATACACGGGAATCTTTTAGAACTATGTGACAGAGTGTTGTTTGCTCGGCCCTCAGCGCGGCAATATTGTGCCGAATGACAGTTTATAATAGACAAACCAGTGCCTGCCGCTGCCAAGCATGACACCCCAAACTGGGATCGCGAGCTGATTTCAAGATTTCTCAAATGTCATTCGTGCTTACTCCCATTTAACCTGTCATCTAGCAGTATCAGCAGTCCATTTGTGTCCCTAGACATGAATGCGGTCTTTAAGAAAGGTTTCCGTCGATCTACTGCTCATTGCCGACGCCGCTTGGTAACCGAGAAAACAATGCTACCAGGCGGCTTTTTTTTTATGTTTAATTTTGTTAAAGGGATGCTGAACCGAAATTTTGGGTGGAAATTCTTGGTCGCAATGGCATACATAGCATGTCCTTTACTTCTAAATGGCGTTGTTTTGAGCGAGGAGGCGTATAAAATTGAATAAACACGAAAAATACAATTTTACGCGACCCCTGGTGAGCGTCGTGGAAAACTCGCTTCGTGACGTGCGCATTCTCATTCGCCTCAAAAGACAGACTGAGCCAAGCCAAGCCAGGCGCTAAGTCGGGTGGCGTTTGTTATTGTTAGTACCACGCGGGCTCCTGGAGTGATCATGTGCCTCCGCCGCACCCCCTTGACATGCGCTGTGCCTGTGAGCGACTCGGCTGACTCTTCCCACTCCCGGAATGATCGCGTACCTCCGCCGCCCTCCCTGACGTCCGCCGAGCCTGAGAATGACTCGGATGTCTCTGCCCCGACTCTGCAGTGACCGCGTGCCTCCGCCGCGCACCCCGCGCCGGAGCCCCATCCGCGTGCCCGCCCGCGTGTGCCCGTGAATTCTGTGTCCTCGGCCCCCCCTCCCCCCCCTCTCGCATCCGGAAGACCGCTTCCCGACCTCTATCTAATCTCATTTCTTTCTGCTCATCTTTCACTCCCATTCCCCCTCCCCCCAAAGATAGTTAGCACGACTCCCATTCGAGTGAGTCTACAGGACTATCTCTTCCTTTCCAAACTCCTCCTCTCTCTCTCTGTCTGCTCTGCCCGCGTGGTACTAGTCCCAGCCGCTTTGAGAACAGCCGCCGAGCGAAGAATCAAGGCGAGCACCAACGAACGAGGAGAATGCGCGGAGGCGCCAGGGGCGCTGGGGGCGCCGAGAATGCGCACGTCAGTTCCGCTACGCCTGCTCTCAGAAGGACTCGCTCGCGCCGGCGGCTTCCGGCCGAGGATTCGCTCTTAATTCAAAGAAATACAATAATTCGGGCCCCATCCGTCGGATTCAATATCGTTTTTAGGTACAGTACCATTCCGTGAAGCCCGCTCGGGCACTAATTATAAGATTTCAAATATCGGTTCAGCATCCCTTTAAACGACACAGGGCTTTGAGAATCGTTGCAACATCAATCTCACCCAATATTTTTGCTGCAGCACCAGTGTGTTTATCTGCTGTGTAGTAAGCAATTCAACGAAAATGTGTCACGTTGCGTGCGAGAGGGAAGGCATGGAATAGTAAAACATCGTTCATACACTTGCAACCGAGTATGACTGAGAAAGACAGACCGGTTTCTAAGCCTTTTCTGACGTCTTTGGACCAGCTCCGCAGCAGCGCATCCGGTCCTAAGATGTCGCAAGAGACTTAAAAACCGGTCTCGTCTCTCTCGGTCATACTTGGTTACAAGTGTGTGAACGAGCCTAAAGGAGTCTTCTCTCAACATTACAAAGCCACGAAAAAGTAAGAGGGAGTGATCACAATTGCAACGAAACTCTGCCCACTAGACAGCATTCTATCTGGTTGGTAAAGAAACATCTGATCCGTGGGTTTTGTGGTCCTTGTGGTGCACCTGGTCATTCTTAGTCGACAAAATGAGTATACCCTTCGAACTATCTCCTCCCCCTCCTTCAAAGGACGAGCCCTTGTTCACAAAGAACCAATGGAGTTTCGACGGCTGCTAAAAGGACATGACAGTCATTCGTACGATTAGGAGACGACGCAGCGTTTATGTGTACCCCTGTCATTTAATCGGAGCTCGGCGCCAGGGCATCACTGTACCCCGTTTGTGGAGCAGACGTACTTGCTCCTCATAGAACCTACCTTGTTCGGTGGCTGCCTGTGAGGTTTTTTCAGGCCCGTAAAAAACCATAGAATTCCTTAGATTGCCCAGCATAAAATACTGGAGGAACTACAGTACCTGTTGCACTACAATGATATGCTGAATTTCATTTTCAATAGAACGCTGCAAAATTTGTCATAAACGTGCTTTCGTAATATATTTTATTCAAATTTACTGTCTAGATCTAAGAAATCAATTTTTCTAAGAACTCCTTTATGAAGCTAGGTGTTCTAATCACTGAAGAGTTTAAATGTGGTTTGCAGGTACACGTGCGTCTGTTGTCAAGGTAGACAAGCGACTACGAAGCATCAAGCCTCCCCACTGTATAACAAGGCTGCCTCGTTCCATTGAGGAGCGTGGCTTCTGGAAGGCGTCAGAGTGGAAGCAGTGGCTCCTTTTTTATGCACTGCCATGCTTGCTGGATGTCCTTCCCCAACTCTACTGGAAGCACCTCTCCAAGCTCTGTGAGGCTGTACACATTTTGCTGCATGACAGCCTTACGCTCCGTGACATCAAGCGTGCAGGTGAGCTCCCAAAAACAAGCATTTAGTTGAAGCCTTGCCATCTAGCCAACACTTCTAAACAGCTTTATTTTCGAGGGCTTTGTTTCACAAATTTTGCAAAGTGTAGGTTTCTGGAAAAATTGTGCAGGCAGAAAATTTTGTATTGATGGGGAAAGGGAGGGGGGTGATGTATGTATACATGCAATAAATTTTTTTGTCATACTTTTCAAATCTTGAGATTTCAGAACATTAGGTTTCCTCAAAAATTATTACGTTCACAGTATTTGAAACTATGTAAGACAACCTCCTCACACCATCTCCAAGCATGCCATGAGCAACACAAATTTTATAGGACTCTTGATACAGATTGTTAGTATGCTTAAATAACATTCCAATTTTGATTGTTGTGAATTGAATGTCAGACATGCATGATGAAAAAGTGGTATAATTGAATGGTCGGCACAGCTGGATCAAAAATTCACATGCAAGGTTTGAACTGCTTCAGCTTGAGATTTTCTTGCCATTTTTTGCCTGTATTTTGCTGAGTACATAGCGACAATGACCTCTTTCCTAGCTGCACGAGAGCCTTAAGGCCTATTCACACTTGCGACCGAGAAAGACCAGACCGGTTTTTAAGCCTCTTGCGATCTCTTAGGACGAGCTCCGCTGCAGTGCATCCGGTCTTAAGAAGTCTCAAGAGGCTTAAAAACCGGTCTGGTCTCTCTCGGTCGTACTCGGTTGCAAGAATGTGAACGAGCCTTTAGTGAGTACCCTCGGCATTGTGCAGCTGTTCTAAACATGCACTCTCTGAATTTTCACTGAACAAATCTGCTTCATCATGGTTTTGTGGCTGCAGTACCACAGCGAAGTACTCATGGTGGGCACTCTGGTGATGACCTGATAATTTGGGACTTTGCCTACAACGTGTGCTCGGCTCGACGATGGCGGCTGCTGCATCACGCAAGAAGATATCATTATGAGCCACGCAGCAGCGCCACTGCCTTGTTGCGCACTTAAAATTGCGAACAGTAAACTGCAGGTGTTTGTTTAGTGCAGCCTTCTAATGGAATGTGTAGAAGAGGTATGATAATCCACCTGCGAATTCACATTATAGCTTATTAAAATGACATTGGCAATCTGAACCAGGTATGCTTGGCACTGACCTTTCGTCTAAACCGCTCTTACAGAAGAACTACTAAACGCGTTCGTGTGTCGCGTCGAGGCCCTCTATGGGATAGGGGCCATGACCTTCAATATGCACCTGCTGCTCCATCTGGCCGGCTGTGTGCGCCACCTTGGACCACTCTGGGCCCATTCGGCCTTCGTTTTTGAGGGTGGCAATGGCACACTGGTGAACCTGGTATCTGCTGCTAAAGGACTGCCCCAGCAGGTCGTGGAGCGGGTCGTGATGGCGCAGGAGCTGGAGCTCTTGCTTGCCAGCCATCATCTACCCAACAGGGTAGAAAAAATCTGCCACGGCTTTCTGGGCTATATGCCCATTCAGAACGCCTCCCACGTGGAGGAAGCAACCATGCTTGGCTGTGGGCGTGCAGCAAGTGTCACCACTGACGAAAAGGTTGCTCTGGAGCAGCACTGTAGAGCTTCGATTAACTGTATGACGGAGTATGAGAGGTGTGTTGTGAACCACCAAGTCTACCACAGCACTGCTTACACGAGGGCAACTAAAAGTGACACAACTTTTGTGTGCACGTACGACCATAGTTACTTTAGGATTTTAAAAATCTTGGAACTAAAGTCCTCAAGTGGCACTCACTGCATCCTTCTTTGCAGGAGTGTTGTGCTGAGGCAATCACAGTATCTACCAGAACATATTAAGGAGTGTTTCCTTTCTGAAGTTGACACTGTGAGCTGTATTGAACCTGCTAACCTCAAGAGCAGTTGCGTTTATGTTGATTTTCCTACAGACAGCAAGTCATTCATTTGCGACTTGCCGAACACAATAGAGCGTGATTAGCCTTGACTCTAGAGGGTCTGTGAGAGAAAATGAATGCCAGTTTTTTTGTGTTTTGCATAGACGGGCTGGGCAATGCGGAAAGCTGGGAATCTGTGCGAATTCTTTGTTGGTGGTCGTGAAGACTGCTCAAATTTAAAGGAGCTGTGCTACGATTTTAAAGGGATACTACAAGGAAATTTCGGTGCTTATTTTAAGGTCTATATGTGTTCAAAGGAGCAGTATCACATCGAACACACCAATATCTTGTTAAAAAAGTTACGAAATGGAATTTTAAAACAAATTAAATGATTAGCAAAAGGCACCTGGTGGAGTCGCTAACACCTCGTTTGTAATGCACGTCTAGGAACCTTGACAGCTAGTGACGGTCAGTGTCTCGCCTCCGGCCACGATGAGAGAAGGGGGTACGGAGGAACTCCCCTCTTCCCGAGAATCCCTTTTGTACGTTCAAGAAGTAGCTATTGTCTCCCTACAAGATTGTAGAAGATTAACCCGTCACTCAAAATTCATACAAAAGCAGCTGCTTTGGTTGCTGGAACGACTAGGCCATCCTCTCGACATCAGCCTTGCTCGTCCCGAGACGACCTACGTCACGATTGCATTAGATGTCACTAGTCTCCGCTGGGCCTTCTCCGAGCGCTTGCCAGAGTGGGCAGTACAGCCACCAGGCTCAAAATACAAACGTGCGATTGTCATTTACGGATATTGTGGATCATATTCAACCTATTTTTGAACACGACGGATACATTTCAAATTTCGTTGAAGTATCCCTTTAAAGGGATGCTGAAGCGAAATTTGGATATCACAAAATAATGTAGCAGGAGTGTTCGACGGGGCGCCGCAAACCCCAAAACAGCACTCATAAAGAGATATCCGAAACGGATGGCCATATTTTTGTAAAATAAGGATGCGATTGAGTGAGAATTGCGACATCTTGTTTCCTGCAGAACAGTTAAGGAGGAGGGGAAACGGCCTCGCTTCCTTCCCTCTTTGTGTCCTCGTGGAGTCAAACCGAAGAGAGGAGGTAACAAGAATCGCAACGTCGTGGGCATTTTTGGCCTTGTTCAAGCGAGCTCTTCTTTCGCAAAAATACGACCATCCATTGCAGATAATGATTTATGGGTGACGCTTTCGGGTTTGTAGCTTCCCGCCTAGTGCTTCTGCATTGTTTTCTGAAATCAAAATTTCGCTTCTGCATCCCTTTAACGTTGAAAGTGCTCATCACATCCTATCTTACTGATAGCATCATTTTGGTGGACTTTCCGCTTTTTGCGATGCACAGTTTGTTCATCATGTGGGCCGAAAAACTGGCTTTCATTTTTTCTTTCCTTTAAACCCTGTATTTGGTTTGTTAGAACATTTTTGTACTTTTCTTGAAGCTTAGGTAGAACATACATATCCTTCTAGTGCATTTCTGTTCCAAATTTGAAGGGCATTTTATATCATTGAAGCAAACATTGTTCAAACATACAAAGCACCTCTCATGAGGGGTACTTTCTCTAATTTGTGGAAGTCTTCTATAGTTGTGCCCATATTCGAGGCTGGTGATCTGTCATTATTAGTGACTATCGTCCCGTTTTGTTATTGTGTGGTTTCCCGAAGGTTTTCGAAATGGTTATGCATAACTGGATCTCAAATTACCTCAGTAAAAAAATTTAGTCTTTTTCAGCATGGTTTTTAAAAGGGAAAGTCCGTTGAAAGAGATTTGTGCTCTTTTCTAGATTTCTTTGTGCCGATAGTCACAGAGGCGAAATTGATGCTGTATATTTTGACATGTCAAAGGCTTTTGACTGTGTAGATCATACTTTACTCCTTTGCAAACTTTCTTTTTATGTCATGTGCCCAAAGCTTTGTGAATGGTTCAGGAGCTACCTGAGTTTACATAGTAATACTGTTTATGTTGGCAACTTTTTGGAAGTGTTGTAGATCAACTTCTGGCGTACACCAAGGTTCAAACCTGGGACCACTGTTGTTTATTTTGTTTGTAAACAATACAGTATCATGCGTCAAGCACTCAAATGTACTTCTTTTTGCTGATGACATGAAACTCTTTTTAAATGTTAAAGACCATATTGATTGTACTTTATTGCAAACTGATATTGGTGCAATTTCAGAGTGGTGTAGAAAAAAAGCCTTGTCGTTCAATCTTAAAAGCTAAATTGATTTCTTTATAGAGAAAGTGGGAAGTTTTCTTTTACCCTTATGTGCTTGAGGGAAATGTGGTAGATGCTGTATCTCTAGTAAGAGACCTTGGCGTCTATATTGACAAATTCACTGCACACGTTTCTAAGATCCTTGGATTAGAGATAAGAAGTTGGAAATGATCACTTTGGTTATCAAGTTCTTTCACTTCACCAATATCTGTAGTGTGTCTGTTCTGTAGCCTTGTACGCTCAGTACTTGAATTGGGTTCAATTAGTTGTTAATACAAGTTAAAATGATTGAGCGTGTGCAGAAGTTTATGTGGTTTTTGGTCTGTTGTGGTTTTTGGGGTCAATAAATGTGCTTTGTGTAAAGATCACCATGTCATTGGTTCCATTAATGCAAATAAATAAATCACTTAGTCTCATACAGATCCTTGTGGTACTCAACCGTGAGATGGGTGGAAAGCGATAATAACAATCAATCTGGAAAGCAGCTTGGTTTTTCTACTGCCGGCGATGGGAAGGTCACGTGTGAAGTTTTGGAGTTGCAACCGGGTTTCACTCGCCACTGAGGGAGAGCTGTGCACGCATTTATTGTTTTAAATAGTGAATTTCTGATCGTGTACTTTGTCAATCAATACTTATAGGAGGAATCAGCCGTATATACATTTGGTTGTCGACCTAAATTCATATTTGATCGTTTAATGTGTATAAGTGGCATAATAAAAGGTTTTGTCATTTAAACAATACACCTTTTCTTCATTTTGCAGTCGGTGCTTGTTTTTTTTTAATGTCAGGTGAACCATATTGCTTTACAACAAAGGCATATACCCCCCGCCCCCCGGCACCCTAAAAATGCAGTGTGAGATATATAACTAAAATTTCACCATATTTCAAACACTAGGTTTCTGCTTCACATATTTTGTTCCTCTATTAAAACTACCTTGCTTTTCATTCAGACTCTTAAACGGCTTGATGTCGGTATAGGTCATAACTATTATGGCCTCGTCCCACTAGAGCACGAACCAAAACACTTCTCAGAGACACGGAAAGTGCAGCTTGTTAGCAGTCATTATTCCGTTTCAATATAGTCACCAAATGGCAAAACAGCTTGCGTCACTTAAGAAGACACGCGCAAGGTTACAAATGGATATATTTTGTTTTGTTGGCCGACAGTGGGACTGCCAGCTAGGCAGCTCTGTTTTAGTGATAAGTAAGCTGGCGTGAAGAGCAGTTTAACTGGCTTGACGTACCCCACTGGCTCGCAGGAAGACCAATTTAACCAGCCGACCCATTGACTCCTAGGAGGACTAGTTTAACCACCTTGACCACATTGCCTCCCAGTAAGACCAGTTTAACCACCTTGACCACATTGGCTCCCAGCTGAAAATCAGCTTGACCACATTGCCTCCCAGGAAGACCAGTTTAACCACCTTGACCACATTGGCTCCCAGCTGAAAACCAGCTTGACCACATTGGTTCCCAATTCAACCAGCTTGACCACACTGGCTCCCAGCTGAAAACCGGCTTGACCACATTGCCTCCCAGGAAGACCAGTTTAACCACCTTGACCACATTGGCTCCCAGCTGAAAACCAGCTTGACCACATTGGTTCCCAATTCAACCAGCTTGACCACACTGGCTCCCAGCTGAAAACCGGCTTGACCACATTGGCTTCCAGGAAAACCAGCTTGACCACATTGGCTCCCTGCTGAAAACCAGCTTGACCACATTGGCTCCCAGGAAAACCAGCTTGACCACCTTGGCTCGCAGGAACACCAGCTTAACCAGTTAGGACCAGACTGGCTCCCAGCTACACCAGATTGAATCTAAAACCAGATTCCAGTTGGACGATGCTGGTTTTTACTTAGACCAGACTGACCAGCTTAAATTCCAGCTTGCCCAGCTTAAACCAGCTTGATTGCCAGCTAAACCAGTTTAATTACCACATTGACCAGTTTGACCACCTTGATTACCAGCTTGACCACCTTAATTACCAGCTTGACCAGTTTGATTTTCATGCTGGTTTTTCCAATAGGGAGAAGCGCAAACAATGGCTCCTGAATACCCTCCTCAAAGAACGAGAGGATGTTGCGCTCCTGCAGGAAACGAAGCTCACGCCTGGACCATGTAGAGCACGCAACTAAATTCTTTGAGCGCCTTTTTGAATTCCGGCACTCTAACGCTAGAGTGCCTTCATGTTCGCTTTGCCTAGAGTGGTGCCATCCTTTGTAATACCACTTGCCGACAAACCAATGTTGTAAGACTGGTTAGCCCGCTGATTTTCGTCAGCCATTTTGTAACCGGGCTTATCCCCGTTAGGGCTATCTTAGCAAAATGCGATTCTCGCTTATGCGAGCTTTATAGGCGCGATGCCAGCGTGCTGCATTCCGTTTTGTCGCGGAAGTTCCAGACATGGGTGCGAAGTTGTACCGATTCCCAAGGAAGCCGGAACGGAGGACGGCGTGGATGTCTCAGATCAGGAGTAGGAGGCCTCTCTGGGAAATGACGAGCAACTCGCTAGTCTGCAATGTAGATACAACAATTGTCGGTCTCGAGTGCGCGCAGTGTCGCGAAGTAATGAAAATCTACTTCGCCTCAGCTTAGCTCAGACTACTGTTGGCCGGACGTGCTAAAATCGCGAGCGAATTTCCCTGGACGGCGTCTCGGCGGCTGCGCGAGCGCTCGTGCGGCGCGAGCGCCAGTTTGGGCAGTCAAGGGTAGCGTCTCGCGCAGGCACAGCCTTGGCGGTTAGTCCATGCTAAGGTGACACAAAGTATAGGGTCCCTTAATGCCCCCAGATCGTGCCCTAGATCTAACAACGCGGCTTCATATCTTGGCCGTCGAGGCGGGGACTAGATTCGGGGACCGCTTTCCGCGGGCGAGACGCCCGTGCGCTCGCATTCATAAACGCTATTTCGGGAAATCGATAGACGCGCTATCTTCGCCGTCCTTTATCTACCCCCAAAAAACCGTCCGCGTTTTCTGTACCTCGCTCGTGAACAGCAGCTCAGGAGCGATGTACAGAAAATGTGCCACCTGGGATAGAGAAAGGCCTCCCTCTGATACATGTACCATTAATAACAGTGGACCGGCCTCATGAGAACAAGTATTCACTGTGTTGTGTCGCAGAGAAATATATAATAAAAATACGCAGCTCCCGTGAGGCCATATTATAAAAGTACTGTGTCAAAAACCACTTGTCTGTTTTACTGTTTTATACAAATACAGCATTCGTCTGAAACGTCGAATTGCTATTTAATCCAGCATGTTGTAGATGAAACCCATCCATATAAGGTCTAAACAGACGTAGGAACTCTTTCATGCTGTGCAGTGTTTTAAAAACCTGGCATACCTTTACAGCAGCACTTCGAAAAATCCTGCTTCGAGGACAGGCGAGCAGATGGGT